AATTAAGTACTCTTTACAATTAGCTGGTATATTTCCTGTCGCATAAACATTATTAAACAATCGGAACAGGCTGTCAAACTCTTGAGGTGCATTTTTAAGAAATTCATAGCTTCTGATCTATTCCCGGGGCATTTTTGTATTTTAATTTTGAAAGTGATATTATTAGATCTGAAGTAGAAATAAAACGAATAATTGAAATAATTCCATAATCCAAGAATAATTCCAATAATGAAAGAATTCCAAAAGTTCAAAATGTTCCGGTAGTAATCGTTCATCGAATTGATTTATTTTGCCTTTTTATACCAATCGGACATTTTCATCGCTTATGAATCAGCTGAGAATTGGCTCGAAGTGAGTTTCGCTGTACAATGCGGGAACTTTGAATAACTGAGTAGACCCTAAATAATCCAAAAGCATAATCTGTTAAGAATATTGACTCGTTAAAGTGAAAAGGTTTTAAATTTAAGTTTACAAACACAAAGACTACTTCGTCCTCAATATAACAAGTAATTTAATTTGCGATGTATGATGAATATAAAACGAAATCAGTGCAAAACAGTTAATATAACTAATAAATGGCGTAATGATGATAAATAGAGTTTATACTATGATCATATGACATTGCTATACAGATAATATCAAAATATGTATTTTATGCCAATCGGATTTTGTAAGTTTTGTAGGCTTGATTTTCACACTCAACAGATTTTCTCTTCTCTGAAAGATAACGTTCAAAGAGGATATGCGTAAGTAAAGCTTAGGATTTACTAAGTCCCCTAGAGGTTTTTAGGCTGCTGAAGCAGCTAAAGGTGTCTTACATAATAATCCGCTTTTCTTCTAAATTTTCCGTTCCTCTATACTGATTTTTCCTAGTCAAATTTTGTTTCTCAAAATGAAACGCTAGTTTTATGCTTCACGCTATCTTTAAATCGATATGCAAATGAAGAATTTATAGATTCAGGTGCGTTACGGTTAGGGGAGAGGTTATAAAATATTTTCAATGCGGCAAACCGTAAAAAAAATGGAAACCACGCTGGCTAATTACTCTGTAAAGGGCTTATCTCTAGAAAGAGGTCGCCCTAATTTTGGCCCCTCCGCCCTTTTAAGACTCGAGAAGGGGAGTTTTCTCATGGTTCAAGGATTTCAACGAGCAACGGAATAGATTTTTTCCCGAGGTTGTAAGGAAGGTGAACAATAAAAAGAAAATCCGCCAATCCCGTGGTTTTATGAAAGTACGTTTCATTCGCCCCCTCCCTTAATGAAAGTCTTATGCACCGTAATAAAAAATAAAAGATCAATTATTTCCCGGGCGTAAAAAATTCATTCGGGTACCGCCTCGCTGAGATAATTATATATAAAAAATATAAAAAAAACATCGCCATAATAACGTAATGAGTGAGCTGTGAACTCACGATCCTACTGTGACAGTTCGTTTCTAACTTCCGACCCTAACTCACACCCAATTTGATGGGATCCCGCCCTCCTTTCATCCCTTCACCCCCGATTCCAAAGAGAGGCCACACAGGGCTCAATACAACGCGACCCTTTGCCTCCACAGGAGCACGCACGGGAATCCTTGTTGGAGCCAATTTGCCCCGTCCGATTCTTCCCCGGAGCACACAAAGAGTATTCTTTTTGCCGGTCCTACACGTCAACCGTTGTTAGCCCAGTCGTCCACCTCCATCCACTTGGAAACGCTTTACTCTCACTGCACTCAAATCTAAAGTTTCTAAAGGGAATGGCAACATGCTACTATTGAACTGTCCTTGACTACTAGAATCCATATAATTCTGGCAAATAATTCAATTACTGAAAATTGTTAATTGTTAAATTGCGAAAATACTTTGTTTAGCTATGAGCGAAAAATGTATATGTGTGTATATATATATATANTACTCTCTCTCTCTCTCTCTCTCTCTCACGTTCTCTCGTCTCACTCTCTCTCTCTCTCTCTCTCTCTCTCTCTCTCTCTCTATCTATCTATCTATCTATCTATCTATCTATCTATCTATCTATCTATCTATCTTTCTATCTCTCTGTGCGCGCGTGCGTGTTTGTGTACAAGACATTACGTTACTAAAGGTTTAGTGTTTGCACTACAGTAGTGATGATGCGAGGCGCGTTAGCCCTAGTTGCAACATAGACGGTGACGATGCAAGACGATCGAATCGACGAACTCAATCCAACACATTGACTCACACAAAAACCTAAATTTATATGTCATAATAATTTAGGGATAATATTTATTAGCCATAATCATATTCATTATCTCCCAATGTACGTTCATTAGTGAGGAAAGCTTATATTATTTATTTATCTTCCTCTCGTTAGGATGACTGTTAGCGAAACCTCCACGGACCGGATTTTTCATGTTTAGATTACATTTAATGAAGTATCACTGAACTATCGGTTTTTTGATTATTTTCTAAGTTATGAGTTTTCTCTCTACTATTATTTATTATTTACATTTTCGGGTGATTTGTTAAATATAATTTTATGTAATACAGTTGTTCATGATGAATGGTGGTCTAGATTACGATTTGAATAAATGGTGAAGAGAAATGAAAGTAAAACGTAAATGTTAGATTTTCTCCCAGATCGTTTAACAATGGGAAGGATGATTATGTACGGTTTGAATTGCAGTTTGAATAATAAAAATTTAGTCTCGTGTAGAGCTCTCTGTTTTCGTAGTTACTCTAGAAGTGCAGAGTTGATTCATGTATTCGAAAGTAGAGCATATTCTTGAATTCTAATGCATTATTCAGCACCTAGGAGATACGGAACCGAGGAGTTCTCGCCGCTTAAGGATTTACGAAGATATATCCAAGGATACGCGGGACATATCATAGACTATCACAGGAAATAAAACCTTATGGTTGAAGAATACCTTCTTTGTGTATTTTGTTAAATTAAGTTTGCCCCGGGTGTTTTCATTGGTTCTTTTGTTTTAGAGCATATTTGCTTTTGGCGGGTCGTAGCAGACGCGGTAAAAGCCGTGTGTTTAACCTCGGATATGAGCGCGAATACTACAGGCGAGGGTCCGCTTAGTAAAGAGCCGGAGAAAGGTCGACAGAGGAAGGAAAGAGGCCGTAAGCTTTTGGTCCCAAGTTATGTCGTCGAGCGTGAAATGCGTTTTCACCCCCGCCGCCCCTTGCCGGGCTGTGTTTAGAGACAGGGACCAGGCACCGTGCAAACAGAGCAGGGTGAAATATACGAGGAAGGGTAGAAAGTAAACAGGGGCGAGCTACACATCTTTATGTCTGAGGCAAACAGGGGGAATTAAACGGAGTCCCTCGGGACCACGCGGGGGGTGAGGTTGTGTTTCGGGGTGGGCCGGGCGGACGGGACGTGGGGTTCTTGATAGGGAAGCTCACAACCCCGAGGGGCCGCGAGTCTCTCAGACCCCTAATCCTTGGAGAGCCCTTTTAACCTGCGAAACGTGGAATAGTCGACGGCCTACTTTGTTACTTTGATATTCTTGCGAGTTTGCCTTTCTCTGTGGTCAAATTAATTAAAACTTTACACACTGCCCTCCCATTTGCAAAACCTCGTTAACAGTAAACATTTTTCTCCTGTTTATCTTCATGAAGACTTATCTTAACTAAATTCTAAATATATTATTTTTTTACTGAAACTTATCTATCTTTCGTCTAATCCCGCCAGATAAAAATGATACATAAATATTTGCTATTTTCTATAAAATAAGAACAAAAGAATTGCCATATTTTCAAATATGGTGTAATCACGATTCGATTATCGCCGACTTATCAAGTGGCCCAGGGGAGCTGTTAGCGAAGTACTTCTGTCATTATTTTATTAATCCATATATATATATATATAATTTGGCAAAAAGAGGGAATTCGGAGGGTTGCAGGTTGAGATGAGAAGTTGGTGCCCGAGTGGATCGAAGTCGGGATAGCTGAAGTGGTAGAGGAGCGGCGTAATGAGCCGAAGGTCGTATGTTCGAATCCCGCTCGACACAGTAGCTTTTTCATCTCAACCAAGACCTTTTGTAAAAAGTAAATTTGATTCAAGTAAAATATCAAATTGATTCAATTTGTTGACTCTGGTATGGCGTAAAAAATGTTTAAAAGCAACGAAAGTTCCAGTTTCTTCTACTGTTACTATTCAGACAGAAACGCGATAACAGCATTTTTTTTGCCTTGTGCAACCACACATCAGCCATGCCGTCAATCCGGGATGTCAAGCGGGGGAAACCGACGAGGAGAAGCCGCCGCGTCCCGGACAGCGACAGACCACGACCACGCAGCGGTATGAGCTGCCATGCTTTCTTTGTTCCTTTTTTAAATTATATATAATTACGAAGGCACCTGGAAGACGTAGAGCATATCAGCATTCGATTGTTGTTCTCTTCAAGGCGCTCGCTGCACCATATTCTCCTAAGTTGCTGGTGGTGAGATGTTGCTGCAGGTCGTCTCAAAGGGGCATACGATGTGAGACGTTTGTGTTAATAAAGGCCTTGCTAAAACATCTTGTATTTAGAATCTGTACTATGGAAATGATTCCGTCTTGCAACAATATTTCTGTCCTCTCTTAGCGTCGTAATGCGCTGAGATACACTACCAGGCCTCCTATTGTCACTTCGGGGATCGAAATCAGGCGAAGCCCAGGACACCACGCTCTGAGAAACGCCAACTGCCTCTCCGATATCCACTTGCCGGTGACCTCGATGTCTCATTATCACAATAATATGAACTTCTGGTTCATGATGATGTCTTTCCATGATTAAAGAGAATAGAACTGGATTAAAATGGAGAAAAGACGAGAAAATATGTTTGTTTACAAAATGAGTAATCTTCATGTTTACTATTCTTAAGTAAATCTATTATTAAAAATGAGGATTAACAAGTTTTATGTTTTATGTATTTACTATTTTGTTTTATTCAACTAACAAGAATATATCGGTTAATTTAATTGGAATAATTAGGATAAGGATAAATTACTGTTCGCACCGGGCACATTTTATTTTCTTCTTTCTTAAAAATAAAAAGAGTATTTAAATTTTCATTATTCAACTTTGTTGTGTCACACCTCGTCATCAGACCCGAAGGGGATTAAAGGTGCATTGAGTCAACCCTGTCGACGTCACGCGTAGTAGTACGTTACAAACCGCCGAACACGCTTGGTCGGACCTCGCCAATTCGCCTAACCTCATTTTTGTCTCTCCTCAAAGTCCAACCTCGTTTTCTTTTCTTTTTTTTACCCTCGTATACAGCAGGAGTATTCTCATTTTATGTTTTACTTTTCCTTCGCTACGCCTCCGCACTTTCTGGTAGTTTCAACAGGTTTCTCCGACGTTGAATCCGAGCTCGGTGACGCCGAAGGTGATTCCAACGACGCACCAGAAGGTATATTTCATACAGTCCACTCCAACGTAAATTTTCTTTATTTTATTTTTATTTTGTTTCACTCGTCAAGCCTCCGTTTTATTTTATTTTATTTTATTTTACTCGTCAAGCCTCCGTTATTTCTTTTATTTTAATTGAGTTTTATTTTAATTAAGACCAGCCCGAACAATTACAAATATCCCGATTCATTTTTCGTAGTTTAGTTATACAGACAATATAAAAAAGAGCCCAAATTTTTTTACACCGTACTCATCCAGAGTCCACAATTTTACTCCATTTCCTCTAAAGACATTCGAAATACTACCTTAACTATATGATTATAACCTTGCAAATTATTGGAGTTTATTAAAACAATGTAAGCTGAACCTCATTATAATAAGAAGAAGCAAACGCGTTGTTTTATACAGGTGCTTTGAACACTTCGACAAATTCAAAATTCTAACGTCACGGTTTAAGCCGAAATTGGGGCGTTGATGTCGTTGAAAATCCCCTTTGATCACGGTAAACAAACAAGTAAATCCAGGAGTTGTCCCTTTGTCAGACCGCAAAGGATCTCACGTGAGTCGGCCCTGTTTAGATTGGCTTATCTGAAAAGTCACACCTAATTACTTTAAACTTTTATCGGACAGGTTGATAAAGTTGTCTGCAAAGACAGGATACGGGGAATAAAAAAAACCGTGTTTAAAAGAACAGGGAGGATTCTTAGCAAAAAATCCTAATTCTACCTTCAATCACTATAGTTTTTAATTTGACGTAAATTTATTTAACATGTATAATAATTTATATTCGCACTTATTCACTTTCTAACGTTTTGGGTGTTGAAGAATGAAGGGTTACGTTTTATAATTTTTATCTTTGGAGAGTGGAGTAGTGATCAATATAAACGACTACAGCTTATATATTATTTGATATTTTTTCTTGTCTCCTAATATTTTGCCAATCGTCTTCTCGATAACCTTTTGTTATATTTGTTAATATCTTACGGTTATATAATTATTAAAATTATAATTAATTATTCTTTGTATGTAAGGTGAGATAAAAAAGTCAGCGGCACGAGCGGGATTCGAACCCACGACCTTCGTGTAAATGCGCCGCGGCTCGACCACTTGGGCTATCGTGACTTCGATCCTCTCGAACACCAACTCTCCATCTCAACCTACAAACGTTCGAATTTTCCCTCTTTTTGCCATGTTTGCCTCGTTGACTTTTTTTATCTCAACCAAGACCTTCCATAAAAAGAATAATTAATTGAAAGAAGTAATTTGGTCAATTGATCACTAAAACATAAATGCATTAAAATTATAATGTGTGGTGATTAGTGAACGTTAATCGATATTTATTTAGAAATCGTGAGATGCGGTCTGGTGTGATGTAGGTTTCAGAAAAACATTTTCTTTATCGTGCCAACGTTTCGATCTTTATTGAGATCATCTTCATGGCCTGGGATTTACAAATATTGTTTACATATAACAATTACATTTTGGATGTGGAAAAGTGAATTTATACAATGCAAAATATACTCTTGTGGTTGGCTGGGAGTGGACGATTCTCATCATCTTGATCTGTTTTTTTTCGATCTTCAGTGGGTGAACACTAGTCAAAATTCTAGTTATATAATTTTTAAAAACTAATTAATTATAACGATGTTTAATGCTTTTGAACTAAACTTAAAATACACATTTGGCAACAAAAACGAAGATTAATCTCTGAAGATGGCGAGACGCCCTAACTCATCCGATAGGCCTATAGCAGAGAGGATAAAGAGACCACAATAAATTAGAAACTATTTGTTTTTTATTATTTTGGTGCACATTTCATCTGATAATATTTATTTATTTTTTCTTCTGATAACCGTGTTTGATTGTTATAGTGGTTAAGAAAAAGTCGATAGTATTAATGTATTCGTTGTCCAGTAGCAAACTCTATAATAAAATGCCGAAATAACTTCTTTTTTTGCCACGTTTCTTAATTTGGCGAGTGGAGGGAAATTGACTAATAGGTATAAAAGAGCCATTTGGAAATCAACAGTGATATTGAGCGGTGCTGTTCATAATCACCCTTTTCCCCCTTCGTCGTGAATGGTATTTTCTTGAAAGCTCGTTTCCTGACCGATCGGCTGGGAAGAGACTTATCAATTTGAAGTCTCTTTAATAAAGGTGGCCTGGGGCTGGTGAGGACGCCCAATAACTCAAACTGTCATGCACCCTTCCAAGGAGCGAGGCCGGGGAGACACAATGAAGGCTTTTCTTTTAAATAATAAGTGTAATTAAAAGGCTTTTCTTCCCCTCCCGCCTCTGGAGCTCCTTTGTAGACCGCGATAGGAAACGCAGGGTGGGCGAGTCCAATAAACTTTGGAGGAAAAAAAGGAGAATTGTTATTCCAAGTCGGAAATACACCTGATATTTTTTCCCTCGAATTTCCCCGGATGTTTTTGTATACAACGCGGATGCCAAATGAACAAATAACTCGCCCAAGCATCTCTCCTTAATTAACTTCTCCATTGAAATTATTCATCTTCTTGTTTGAATTGGTTAATATTTTTTTACTTCAAAGAAATGCGAAGAGACACGATAGAATGAAGACAATCCGAAATAAATTTAATAAGACAAATTAAATTTCCACGTTTCCGAATTATTGAACGGACAAACGAACAACGAAGATGGAGTAATTATTGGATTCTATCAGTCATTTGGTGTGTTGATTGAAAAAATTGAAAGAAGTAACTTGGTCAATTGACCACTAAAACGTAAATGGATTAATATTTAATAACTAAAAGAAGTATCACTTCCCTAAACAGCTCCCCGTGGCCACTTCATAAGTCGCTGAGAATCCACTCCTGACTGACATTTGAAAATGGCAAAAAGGAGGGAAAATAAGAAAGGTTATAGGTTGAGATGGACAGTTGATATCCGAGAGGATCGAAGTCACGATAGCTCACGTAACCACTTGAGAGCAGCGGCGTATTTAGCCGAAGGTTATGGGTTCGAATCCCGCTCGTTACACTAACTTTTTATCTCAACCAAGACTTAAGATGAAAAGAATAATCATTTATTATATAATTATATTTATTTTTCGGGCTTTGAAAATGTGGACGAAGCCCATTCTAAATGTATGTCTTCTAATTTATGTCTTTTCACGTTGGTTTGGTACGTTAATGCAGAAAATATTTTTAACAGAAAGCCATAAAATATGAAATTTTGTGGAAAAGTAATTTTTTTCATTGCTTGCCAAATGATTCCAATTTTATATTTCTGGTTTCATCGCAATCGTAGTTAGATAAAAATTATACAAATAATCTTTAAGTTCTATTTTTATCACCACGTTTCCGATTATGCTACGATTCCTCCTCAGGGTAAAGATTAGAGGAGTCTATTGTAATGTTAATGATGCTATGTGTTAAAGCTACTTAGCCAGTGGTTCCTCAATTCACCACTGTTAAATAGCCAATTAGCCCAACTTATCCGTAGCTTCGACCCATGATAACCATTAATCCCAAAAGACCTTCAGCCCACTGTCTGGCGGTTTTGAGGGTCTAAGCAAATGCTATTATGAAGCGATACAGCGAGTTTACGTATCGATTGCGGTCGTTATTGTTATAGTTAACATTTCCTACTTCGTTAATATTGTATCCAACCGGAAGGGGCCGAGTCTGAATGACATTTTATAATTTTTAACTTTCAATTCCAACAGCCGACGTTTATTCGGCCAGAAAAAAGCAACAATATGAATAATAGAACAAATTCGTTCAAGAAGAATCTTCCACCTGACTTTCTTGACAATTTACGTTTTATTTTTTTGTTTTTGTTAATATTACGACTCATTTTTAATAATTATACTCGCCATCGAACAAAATGATACAATTTTGATTTTGCTACATATATTTTCCTGAAAAATAGATTCTTAAAACATTAAGTTTCAACGAGTAAATAAATGATTAGAGCAGGTATTTAATTTTTATTGTTAATAATTAGTTATTTAACCTTGCAGAAAAATAGAAAAGTAAGTATATAAAAAAAATGATATATAGTATTTCAGCAAATTTGGCTGAATATCATGACTCTCAAATGCAAACAAGGGGGTAAAAAAGTGGTTAGAGCAATGGCTCGTAATCCAACTAGTGGTCAGAACTTGAGCGATTATAGTACAAAAGCCACTTTTCATTGCAGGTGATCACACGACGAGAGCGGGAAAAAACGAAAGGTTCGAACAAATTGGAAGTTTCGTGTCGGATGACCATTTGCAACTCTTCTGTGCTTCATGAGGCACAATTTTTTGTAACCATTCCGGGTTTTCAAACCCCTTTTTAAAAAATTGTCCCGCCACTCATCGCTGCCCGTTTGTCCGATTCGGGTAAATTCCTCGTTGGGGCAATTATTGCCGCAATTTACTCCCGGGGACAGGGATAAGCAATTCCAGGTCTCCTAAATGGAACAAATTCCGCAAACCATCTAACAAATGAACGTTTTTCACTAATGGTAAGTGATTTTTTTTCTCTATTCGGCAGTTTCGTTCGTACAATGAGCTGAGCAAATCATGACCAACGTTTAAATAGCTATTGTCACTGTTAAGAGTATGTGTTTTAGCCATCCTGCTGCTCATAAAAGATGAATAGAAAAGTAAAAATATATTTCGTATAAGCCAGTATTGTTTTTCAAATTTGATAACTGTAGTCTGACTATTCTTCCTGTTTTCAGTTTATAAAAGGCGTTTGATAATTAATTAGACGACAGTATGAGTGGGCCAGACATTTCTGCATATTTCTTTTTATATTATTTGATTTTCATTTAAGAGCTAGTTTCTAGTTATCAAGTGCGATATAAATTCTATATTTTTCATGTAGCATAGAAATTGATATGAAAACCTATGTTGCTGTAGTTGTCTCCGGCGTGCAGAACGCGTAGTTTAGTGTTTTCGAATAATTATTGTATCTCTAAACTTGCAGATTTGCCGTTGGTCTATTAGAAACAGTTTAGCTTCTCATCATCATCAGGGATACTGTG